TTCCCAAGGGAAACCCCGCAATGTCCGGAGGTCTCGACGTTCTGCAGATGAAGGAGGAGGATGTCCTCAAATTCCTCGCTGCCGGGACCCACCTGGGAGGCACCAACCTTGACTTCCAGATGGAGCAGTATATCTACAAAAGGAAAAGCGATGGTAAACCCGTAGGGTGGGTAGCCCTGCGTAGGCAGCTGGGATTTTGTGGGCACAGCTGAGAAAAGCAGGGAGGTGCTAACGCCCGAGGTCTGTAACAGTTTCTCCATGGCCTGAAAAGTGCAAATGCCTTTACTGGTTGAATCATGTTACTCGGAAAAATAGAAATACAGATTTCATAACTTGGTAAATCCATTACAGCTGAATTTGGGCGCTTCCGCTAGTTCTTGAGGATAGTAACAAAATGGTTTTAATGTCTCAATACTGATTTCTGCTGCTTGTTTGCATTGTTCTTCAGTCTGAGCTGCATCCTGTTAAAAGATCGAAGCTCGTACCAGGACCTGGTTCATGTTGATAGGTGCTGGAAGTGTGCTGCGTTAAAACCACATGGGAGGATTTTCCTTGGAAGGAATAGCTTTCCACTAATCAGAATTTTGAAGTAACCACAGCCCTATGAAAATTTTAATGGCAGAAGAGTGTTATCCTGTTTTAGGATCTTGTATTTGCTGGTTGCTCTAAAGCCTTTTGTCACCAATAGGTATTTACATCATCAATCTGAAGAGGACCTGGGAAAAGCTCCTCCTGGCAGCCCGTGCTATTGTTGCCATTGAGAACCCAGCTGATGTGAGCGTCATTTCTTCCAGAAATACTGGACAGGTATGGGCATTTGTTGTTCATGAGGCTTGCAGTCTTGGGAGCAGGACTCTCTCGCCATGCATCATTGCCTGCCAGTGGCAGCTTGATGTTAAAAGGGAGTTAATATGAATTTTGGCTCTAGCAACACTTTTCGGAAGCGTGTTTCTTGTGTTGCAGCTTAGAGCAGATCAGTTGAAACCCACTCCCCATTTCTGTAGTTTCAGGGCATTTGATAACTTGTTTTTCTTTAATATCCTCCTTTGGATGCTTCCTGTTGGATTTCTGGCATATTAGTGGTCAATCCCCTGGTGCCTTCCCCCACCCCTCCCAAATAATTCTGTGAGTCATTGGCACTGCTTTTTGGGGACAATAAGCACCTGATACATAAGTTTCCAAAGAAATAATTTGCTCTGTTATTGATCAAGGTATAGCCAACTAGTATATTTTTAATTTTGTCTTTAGACTTCTAGCAGAAAAAAAATCTGTCATAGAAGGGGACACAACATTTGAATAAAATCTAATTAGCTACTGAAGTTTATCTGTGAGCTTAGTTTCTTTGGACTAACGCAGGTGGTGCCACAAATGTTCAGGGAGATTGTGAATGACACGGGGTGGGTTTACAAAGGAAAACCTTGGGTTCCTGTGGTCTTCATGTGCACGCTGTTAAAGCTTGATGCTGAGGTCAGTTTCTGGCCAATGAGCTCTCAAGTGTCGGAAGTGTGCTACAGCAAAATGGATGGCAGGGTTTTCGCTAACGCCAGGAGAGGAGCTCCCTCTATGATTGGAGTTGATAGTAGGCCCTGCCACATGCCTGAGAAGTTGAAAGCTGTTGCAAGTAAGAACTGCCAACTGCAATTTTAATGGGCACAGCTAGAGTTTGTGTATATTTACTACTGAGCTTTTCCTGTAGTTACTGAAGTTATGCTACTGGATAATGAAAGGATGTAGAAATAATGGAAGCAAATCAGCTTTGCTTTTTTCATAAGCTGTTTTACCCCGCCTTTCATGATTTGATTATGAGACTTTGGAGTACAGCTTGGAAATAACTTCAGAAGAAAAAAATATGGTTTTTTCTGTATCCAGACTTGCTGCTTTGCTGGTGGATATGATCTTTTTTAACTCCTGGTGTTGGTGTAGCTATTTTCAGAAACATTTTTATTTTGTCTCATTTTGAGTGCAGAGCTGGTGGTGAGCCCTGATTTCACAGGAACTGAAGCAAATAGTTCAGTTAAATTTGATGTTTCAGTTAAATTACAGCATACCTGGGTGACTTGGTTGAAATGCAGTTTTCCTGCTTCACCTTTGCTATGGTCCATTTTGCAGCGTGCTGTTCTGAAGTTTGCTGCTGCCACTGGGGCTACTCCTATTGCTGGACGTTTCACCCCTGGTACCTTCACAAATCAGATCCAGGCAGCTTTCCGTGAGCCACGACTCCTGGTTGTTACGGACCCCCGGGCTGATCATCAGCCACTGACAGAGGCATCTTACGTCAACATCCCCACCATTGCGCTGTGCAACACTGACTCCCCACTGCGTTATGTGGATATTGCTATTCCCTGCAACAATAAGGTAACGGCTTTGTTGTGGCATTCAAAGCTGCTTCCTCCAGAGCGTGTCCTAGGTTGCAAGATGGATGCTTTCTGCAGGGGAGGGTTGGCTTGCCTTTCATGTCTCCCAGGGTGACGAGCTAATTAAGGCCGCTTGTGAGCTGGCAGGCAGGTGGGGAGTAGGAGATGAAATGCACACAGTTGGAGCTTGGAGCTGAGGCCGGTTTCTGGCCAAGGAACTCTCAAGTGTAGGACGTGTGCTATAGTAACCTGGCAGGATTTTTCACTGATGCCATGAGGGTCTTTGTGGCCCAATGAGTGGAGTTTGATAGTCATCCTTGCGACAGTTCATGAGTATGAATGAAAAATAAAGTGAACCGATGAAACTGCTCTGAAACATTACCTTGCCAGAAAACATCTGAAAGGTAAAGCCTAGGAACATGGGAAACTGTCTTTGATCTCTATCTAGATGCCATTCACCAAAACTAATGTAAGCCAAATCTGAGCATGTGTGTAAGATTTGCTCATTTGGTCAAGTTCTATTTCTTCATTCTAGCATATGTGATGAGCATAATCCATGACTTTTGAACAAGATTCATGTGGGGTAGTAAGCAGCATGAAGCTCCATAGCAGAATTGCTTCAGGCTATGCTGTATACAGCAAATTCAGATGCTGGTAATTGAAGTGCACTGTGATTTCTGTAGAGACCTGAAAATGTGACTGGGAACTTGAACAGTTGCCCTTTCCTGAGTCCGAGTACCCAAATCTGGGCATTAGCAAGTAACGTCTTTGTCTTGCGAAGCAAGAACCTTGGGTTGGATGCAAATAAGTCTTTTGCTTTTTCAAAGAAAATAATTGTTTTCAAAGGTTTAGCTTTACAGCAATTTTCTTCTGTTCCAGGGAGCCCATTCCGTGGGTCTGATGTGGTGGATGCTGGCTCGGGAGGTCCTGCGCATGCGTGGCACCATCTCCCGCGAACACCCATGGGAAGTCATGCCCGACTTGTACTTCTACAGGGACCCTGAGGAGGTAGGAGGCCTGTGGCAGGAAGTGTGTCTCCGTGAGGTGTCTTTGCTTGTGCTCCTGCCCCGTGGTCCTCTGTGCCTGCTCTTGAGGAGAGATTTTGCCAACACAGTAATTGCGCTTCCAGCTTAAAGGTGGTGATTGGTTAATTGTGTTGCCAGTTGATGCCTGTTGTCTGGTATGTGATAGTGAGGGTGGTGAGGTGTTTCTGCGAGACTTCTGCTACACAGGTCGAAAAGTAGGAGCAGGCTGCTGCTGAGAAAGCAGTTACGAAGGAGGAGTTCCAGACCGAATGGACAGCCCCAGCTCCTGAATTCACGGCTCCTCCTCAGCCTGAGGTTGCAGATTGGTCCGAGGGAGTGCAGGTCCCATCTGTGCCCATCCAGCAGTTCCCCACAGGTCAGTTTGGGGGATGTCTGTCGGAAGTGGGGTCTGTGTTGTAGTGGGTGGGTGGACTAAGCGTTGTCTTTGTAATTGCAGAGGACTGG